GCTGGCATCCAAATACGAAAACCAAAAGCTATAGGGTAAAAAAAGGGAACTCAAATTGCAAGTTTTTTGATAGCCGTGTTGCATGTTTATTTTATATATATGTATATATAGCGATCTATGAAACTACTTTTTATATATTATCAACATGTTATAAGTCTCATGATGGGTGGGGAAGCTCACAGTTGAAATAAAATTAAATTTATAAGTCTAAGTGATCCTCTAACCAGCATGCTAGCTTTTTGAATGAGTTTTTCATCTAGACTTAGACTTATAATGTTGATAATTGAATGTCAATTTGCAGAAATTACTATGCAAAAAAGTTCCAATCAATAGAAAGTCCAATGAAATGCTATGACAGAAGCTATTGAAAATATCAGGGCTCGAACAAAAGTACATAGTCATGAATCTCTTATCAAGAATCTCATAAATGAAACGGGATTCATAAATTTAAAAGGCTGTGGTTTTATAAGCTAAATATGAATAATATTGCAATTTTTTTAGCCAAAAAACCTCAATAAGAACTGTACAAAAATAAAAATCAAATTATATTAGTACTCAAAAAGTTATCACACCTTAAAAATTGTTCATTTAAAATTTTAATATCAAGACTATTTCTAACGTCTAAAATCTTAATAATACTACAACTTTTAATAACTCATAAATATGATAATTGAATTGAAAATCGTTTTCTTTTTTTCCCCCTGTTACCATTTTGCACGACATCATGTTTCTTCTCCTGTTTCTTGCTGATGGTCCATTTCTTATTGGATGGAACCAAATTCCTGTGTCGGTTGAATTATCTTCCATGATGAAAATGGATAACGATTGGACCAAGCCTGACACCTCATCACAGATCATGATGTTGATATTGGCACTGGAATTAAATTACTTGTCTCCTCAGAACTAGGGGGAGAAAACAGTGTTTTGTTGGGGAATCTCTTTATCCAATAATGAGATAAATTTACTACCGCACTGAAGAAGAGAGTACCGGGAGAGAGAATATGCCTAGAGTAAATGGCCGAGAAGCCAGCAATCGATGCGTGCACCATTTCAATTGTAAACAAAATTATCAATTAATATTGACAATAACAATAATAATTTTTCTTCATTTAACAAAATGAATTCTATCGATAAAAATTAATTTAGTCAATAGAGATTTAATATATAACTCATAAAGTTTTGAAATAAATCTCACTATTAATGTAAGAGTTTTGTTATTAGATGATTTGTAATATTTTTATAAATTATTTGAACTTAAAGATACGATCTTAATAAGTTTTAAAATTTAACTCACTTAATCTATTTATTTATAAAAATAGTGAAGTTTGAAATATAGATGAGTCTTAGGCTTAGTCTCTACCCAGTGCTCATATTTTGGTAGCCTTGTAGATATTTAAGAAAAGTTATCAAAATTCAAATTATGAAAAATAATATTTTCATCCACATAAAATATATTTTGATTATTTAAATACATTGCCTTCAAAAATAATATTCTTATTGAAAATTAATCATTTCTAAATTGTAAATACATATTTAACAGTTATACACTATGTTTTTACATGATAGAGTATCAAGTTAAAAATTAACTTGAAATCTTAAGTGAAATTAAAAGGTTGAAATCATAAAATGTCTTCATGAAAGTCACAAAATCAATATATCATGTGGGTAATGTGATGATTAGAAATACTATTATAGAAAAACTAATATTAGGGGGTAAATGAAAAGAAGAAGATGCGCGCGCGCACCATGCCAAGTTAGGTTGGACTAAGGTTAACTTTAAGTCTAGGCTAAATTCATACTCGTGCCTCTTTTTGTTCTTACCATTGAAAATAACTACATTAGGCTACAATAATTATAATTTCTACATTAAAAATTGACTTCTAATATATGTAAAGATTTGAGAGAGTTATTTTCAATTAAGTTGGATAATGGCTTGAATCAGATACAATGGAACAATCATCTGTCAAAAAAAGAAAAGAAAACAAGTTGGTGTAGGCTTTATGTATATGGGGATGAGTGTCAATTGATAAGGGGGACAATATATGTGGATAAAGCATGTTGAAGTGTATGGTTTTATGAAATGAAGGAGATGCCATTAAATGGAGATTTCATGAGAAGGGACAAGGTCACGCAACTTGGATGATAAGGAGCCATTTCCCAAGTGACCACCTTCTTTCCACCTTCGCGTTCACATGCTTTTATTCCCAACGCTCACACCAACAGTCACATATTTATTCTTTATTCATACCTCTTTTACCAAATACCACAACACTTTACGTCTCTTGCTTGCATCAACGCTCATTCAATTTCTATTTCAATTTTCTCTGGCAAAAGTAATTTTATTCGAAGCCGTATTAGCCCCCCACCCAGAAACAGCAGGCCCAGTTAGGCCCAAGGCTTGTTAAAGCCCAATCAATGTCAGCTCATTTTACGTGAAAAATTACATATAATTTCTGTAAAGTTGACTTATTTATAAATAAGTCTCACAAAATTTAAAAATTATAACTAAATTCCTTAAGACTTAAGTACAATTTAAAATTTGAATAAAAAGATAATAATACTCCTATTAAACATATATGCATTATATTAATTAAATAATTTACAACTACTTTATTAGTAATTTATAACTATAAATTTAATTTTTTACAGCTATAATTTCATATATTCAATAATTAAATTAAATTAATTAATTTAATAATTAAATATGTAAAATTATAATTGTAAAAAGTTATAGTTATAGTTATAAATTAATAATAAAGTAGTTATAAAAAATTAATAACACATGATTGTTTCACTATTTGATATATAAAATTATAGTTGTAAAAAGTTAAAATTAAAATTATAAATTATTAATAAAATAGTTATAAATTAATTATTTGATTGGTGTAATGTATGTTTAATAAAGGTATTATTATTTTTATAATATAATTTTAAATTACACTTAAATACTAAACAAACTAGATATAGTTTTGAATTTTATGAAATTTATTAATGAATAAATTTGCCCTATAAAATCTATGCATAATTTAGCCTTTTATTTTTGGTTCCTCGGCCATTACCATTCCCACCCCATCAACCCCTGTAAAATCAATTATACATGATTTACCCAACAAAGTGCTGATTTATTCAGTTTAATTATTTATTAATCCATATGAATTTTGGGATACAGACGAAACTGATCAATGCATAAATCCGTTGTTTGACCCCATGACTTGGCCCACATGCAATTACTTTTTCCAGCATAATTATCCTCTCCATTTTTTCTTGCCCTTCTCTTGCTTGTGCATTGGCTTTTCTTACTTTGTTTTTGTTTTTTTGTTTTTTCAAACTTTCTCGCTTTTTACTATTGTTTTTTTCCTTCTCTTAAAGGTAACATGTTTTTATCACATCCTTATATCTTAATGACTTCCAAGCTTCTCCACAAGTATGACGTCGTAGGCTTGCTCTCGATTGTAATGTCATACTATTAACTATACGGCAAAGAAATACAAAAAGTCAAATATTCAGTAGTTTAAAATAAAAATATGATAAAAATACCCATAATATTAGTTAAATTAGTGTAAAAAATAATCAATCCATTAAATCCCTCAAACATTAATATTTTAGTTGACACATATATAGATGTTGATTTTTTTTTTGCTAACATGGATTAAAAGGGGGCACAAATATTTATAAACTCGTCAGTTAGGAGCATCTAACAGTTTAAAATGAGAAAAAAAAAGTAAGAATGCTTATAAAGTTACTTTAATAGGTATAAACAGTGATCAATCTGTTAAAATTCATGTCACGCGGTTTATTTTCATCTTGCAATGCCCTTAACAAAGATTTCAAACATCTCTTGAGCAAAGGTTTCTCAAAGAAATTTATGAAGATTAAACACGACCTTCTAGAACCCTTTCAACTAGGCATTGAACTTAAGTTGTTGAGTTGGCCAATAAGAGATGCGATGCTGCAGATGAAGTTGAAAAGAAAATTGAGCCACAGGAAACTTCCTTTATCAATTTGGATTATCAAGAAGAAGCTTTAGACCCCGTTTGGTAGCTTGGAATCATGAAGAAAAAATAGAATTGGACATGAAATCTGGTAACATGTGTGTTTGGTATGCAATAATTATGATTCTTTTGAATCTAGATTCAAGAAAATTTGGCAGAATTCAATTCCATCACATGCATCATGAAATCCGATTCTATAATTCTCGTTCTCCAGTTTGCCTTTTTCTCCCTCCTCCATGATTTCCTTCTTCCTCCTCCACGAACCATCTCCTTTTCAATGCAGAAGCATCGCTCTTCTTCCTTGCCTTCATCTCCTTCCTTTAGTGATAGATGGTTTCTTCCTCATCGTTCGTGCATTCTCGCTGTCGATAAAGTGCCCATCACCTCTCTCTCTCTCTCTCTCTCTCTCTCTCTCTCTCTGTGAACGCTCTTGGTCTGACGATGTTGATGAAGAACCGAGTAGCAGTGGATAGTGCAAATAGTCATCACTGTCACCCTACTCGAAAGACATCATCATCTGCATCGATCTCCTCCTCTCTTCTTCTTTGGTATTCATCTTCTTATTCAGTTAGGTGTCGTCAGAGAAGAAGAAGAAAGCAGTGACGATGAACCATGAGAAGGCAGTGACAGACTATAGGAGGGGGTCCTTGCCGAAGAAGAAGAAGAAGGGGAGGGGGTCCTTGTCGATGTAGTGACGGACGGTGGCAAGGATGCTCATCAGATGAGGAGGAGGAGGAGGTAGTGACGTGATGTAGAAGGAAAGGAATGGGACTGTTGGGCTAATGGGGATAATTTTTTTAATTTTAAAAAGGGCACTTTGGTCTTTTCTTATTTTAAATATTTATATTTTATTAAAATTATATCAAGATTCCATTATCATACCAAACACACTTGTAAATCCAATTCTATTCCAATTTCAATTTTGATTTCGATTCCAATTTCGATTCCGATTCCATCAAAAAACTCTTCCATCATACCAAATATGACCTTAATGGTACAATAATTTTAAAAAAGAGAGCCATTTAACTTGTTCTTTAATCAAAACTTAGGAATATTTTTAGTCCACATTAGCAAAAAAATGATCAATTTTATTTAAGTGTCTGTTAAACTGTTAATGTTTGAAGGATTTGTCAAATTAGTCATTGTTGCGTATACTAAAGTAATGTTATAGGTGTTGTTGCTATTTTTCTCACTTTCAACTATTAGATATCCTGTTTAGATGTCAACTAAACGGTTAATATTTAAGAGATTTAACAAATTGGTCACTCTTATACTAATTGAAATAACATTATAAGTATTTTTATTCTTTTTTTTTTCACTTTAAGCAACTAGATGGTCATGGCTGATGCTTTCATGACTATTTTTACCCTTTTATCCTTAACTAAAATGCCTACCCCTGTATTTTTTTAATTAAAGAAAAGGTGTCACATGCTTTGTAGCAAAGCCACACACTCATTTCTATTAATTCAACGCACCCAATTCTAATTTGAAGGCTTCTCAATAACTATACATTTCGAATTTTATATAACTTGCTTTCGTTCATTCATATTTTTTTCATATATGAACATTCTATCCAATGCACAAAATGCACTTCCAATTTGTTCAACATCTCGCATATTTATTCAAGAAAAATGAAATTGCGAAAAACTCAATATTAAAACCAATATATACTAGAAAACCATAATAGATAATACACAAGATGTCATTAATAATCAACAGCGCGCCTTATTTTTCTCACTCCTCTGGAACTATCCAATTTCTTATAGCATCAGACCCGCCTCTAATTTGGTCTGTAAATCCAAGAAAAAGTACACAAAGACATCGTTTAACAGATTATTTCACAGATCAAGCGCGATCGCATGAACAATGGGTGAATGAGTGGATCAATTGAAAGGGAGACGTACAGTGAAATCCACAGTATCCTAATTCCGATCCGTGATCTTATCCTTGAACAGCCTCAAACGAAGTCAGGTTCCTGAAATGTTGCCATGGCTTTTCCCAAACAACGGCCTCGTAGTTCTTCGTTGCCGAGGACGATCCGTCCTTCGTTGCCACCACTAGCCGGTAATTTGTCCCGGCCACCACCTGTGTCTCTCCCTTGACCACCTTCTCCAACTTCAGCCTCGCTCCGTTTCTCTTGTCGTACTCCGCCACCGCAAAATTCGCGATCTCCATCACGTGCTGGTCTTCAAGGTTAGGTATTGGAGTCCATCCACCGGGGATAACGGCCTCTGCACGGCCTCCGGAGATGGCGCAGAGAGGAACCAAGAGCAGTGAAAGGAGTAACTTGCGGAGAGGCCCCATTGGAACCGTCAAGTTGATTCAATTTCTAAATTTCTTTCTCAATTTTAGGAGACTGGCAGGAAAATGATTCTATTTATGGGGGAGATTTAGGAAGGAAAGTGTTTGCCCTTGTTATTGTTGGATATTACGATTCTTTTTTTTTCTTTTTTTTTTTTTGTTACCTTCGTTGGACATTACGAGTTAAACACTTAAACCTCAGTAAATAAATTTTATTTAACGAATCGAATATGTTTAACACCTCAAACTAGATTACTTCTAATGGAAGTATAGATGTCAACAATAAAAAGTTAAATTGTAATCAGAATTGAATATGAGATTAACTGCAAACAATAATTAAAGTTCAAAACTTTTTAAGTGTTTATTTAGTTTTTAATTTATATTTAGCGAGATTCTATTTGAGTAATTCAATTAGTGGCTAAATGTGATAAAAGCATATTCGAATATGATTTGAATTTATTTTTTAGGTTATCCAGACAAGCTCTTAATTTGACTTGGAATTTTAAAAATGTAATGTACTTTTAAGTTAAACCAGTCCACTACAAAAAAGCAAATATAAAATTGGATTTTATCCAAGGATTGACAGATTATAAATTTTTAGGAAAAATTTAATCTGAGTCAAATAAATAATTAGACTGTTTTGAACAACAAACAAAACTTTTAAAGCAAGGTGATGTATTTAGCTTTTTTTCCTTTTTTTTTAAGGCATTGAATAATTATGATATGACAACGTAACTGGCATGTAACTATGGCTGGCACAGAGAATTTTTCCCAAGAATGAATATGAATATGGAGAATTATTGAAAATAAATCTATCAGAATAAATAAATGATAAAAAGAGTACATATATAAAATAAGAAGATTATATTTATAAAATAAAGAAAATATTTTTTTTGAAGAATTATATTTCTGGCCCTTTATAAACTAACAGAAAATATAATTGTTAATAATAAGGAAAGTAAAGTTATCAATATAGTGAGTGTAAAAGTTATATTGGATAACTAAATTGAGTTATGGTCATCTGTATGTTAATATATGAATTGATGTTGTTAATTACTAAACTGGAGTGGTTAATTGAGATACGAGGTATACTTATTATTGCATGATTGAATTAACAACTACACTTTTTATATTGATTATTTTATCTTCGTTATTACACTATTCATTAAAAAATATAAGATATTTTTTGAGGTAAAATGTTATAAAATATAAGACATTTTAAGTATTTAAAAAGTGTAATTAATGATATTTTAAAAAAATACCCTTACTTAAGAGTTTAATTAATATGATTTTTTAATTGAGACGCTATATTAAATGGGGATAAACATGAAAATGGTCCATAATTTAAAAGATAATTAACTAATTCATTGAGAGATGTAATTCAATTAAAAATATCTTATAATTTTGAATAGAGAGTGTAACAAATTTAGTTTAGATTTTAACAGCTATGCTCTCTATTATTTAACTGGGAGTCAAAAACAGAATTTTACAAAAAAGTTATGTTGGATAAGTTGAGAGGAACTTCAAAATAATTATCCTATTTGATGTTACTCTTTTATTTTCGGATTGAAGTTCATTTTTACTTCTACAATATATCCTTACGAGCATTCAGTGTCCATACTCTATTTTAATCCAATCAACTCCTTAAACTTTGAAAATTAAATCGCTCCGTGTCTTGCCATTAAAATGAAGCCAACAGACATTAAGCGAGATAAGTTTTGCATAGGTGTCCCCCTCAATATGGCATGCCCCTTTTTTTAATAAGATGTGGCACGTGCCGTGAAGAGAGGTTCTTCTTCTACTAATTAAGGCTTCTTTGAATATATATTATGGGCTTGGTCCGTTTTGGGGAAAGAGAAGAGGCCATGGGAATAGAGAAGGGGGTCATAATCACAGGAGCAGCAACAGGCAGCTCAAGTGAGTTGAGAATTCGATAATAACGGAAGCAGAAGTGAACAAGGAGAGTACCCATAACACTTCATCTTCTTCTCTCGTCACACCTCAGCCTCCTCCTCCTTCTATTTTCAAGCTGAGGGAGATTTTTTTTTTTCTTTGTATACCGTTCGTCATTTATTCTTCTCTTGGATCGGAAAGTTCACACCGCCAACGCCCATGGCACCTCCGACTCGCCATCATCCGCCCTATCGCTCTCAGGATTTGCCTCCCATGGATGTAAATTAGAGACAAAAATAGAGCCGTCGTGTTCAGATCCAAATCCAAAATAATCAAAATCAAAATTTCAAAATAGAACCGTCGTGTTTAGATTGGTTATCGCCATTGGCTCCCTCTATGCTCCTTGATTTTCTTGGAGTTATTGTCTCTGAGTTTTCGAATGGGGGCAAGTTTATTTCCCTCGGTTCATGCGCAAACTGGAATGCTTCTGTGATCTTTGTTCACCAAGACAACGATTAGAACCGTGAATGTTCTTTGGGTTCTGATATATTGAATTTAACTAGACTTTACTACCCGTGCTCGCACGAGAAGATTTTAATTAAAATGGACAATTATATGGAATTACAGAGATTAATAAGCAATACTTATAACTTCACCCTATATTATTATAATTAATGCATTGAAGTTCGAAAGACACATTTTAACAAGCCTTCCTTTCTTTGCAATCTGAATATTTTTTCTAACACCTACAAAGGCCTTGATAAGGTTATCATTTTCTAACTATAGTAATTTGCACCAATCAAAGGGTTATCATCAATAAATTTATATTACCTTGACTGCTATTTCTATTATTTTGCTTTGTACTATCAGTATATATGATTAACATTGGCATATTATATTAACTTTACTGTGCAAAAGAAAGAAATAAATTTAGCATATTATAATTAAACCTGACAACACGAAAGAAAGTAAATTACAAAAGAACAATCTAATAACCATTAAAGAAAAAGATGTCATCAGCATTCTGTTCAACCATTTGGCAGACAAATTTTAAAAACATTTCAAGAGCAATAGTACATCACAAAGACATGGAAAATGATAACTAAAGACCAAAAATTGTATAATTAAAACCACCAAATGGAAAAAGAAAATGATGACTACACTATTTATCCTTTGTTTGTATTCTCCAACAAAGTTAATCCACGAACAAAGGTCAGCTCTTTATACTTTGGATTCCAAATGACTCTTGTAACACCAACATAATTGGTTGACAAATAGACGCTTGTAAATTCAATAATAACATTTTTATTAAAGCTTATATGTAATTGAAGACAAAAAATTAGACATAGGCATACCACTAAAACTAGTTTTTTTCATGAAAAATGCACATTGAACAGTTATTATAAGATTCCTCCTCTCATGCACGCTTTCAAATTTTGTCCATGCATCCTTGGCATTTTCACTGAGCAAACCACATTGAATCATGTTTCTTTTGCAATACAATATATAACTATTTTGATATCATTACATGATTCAAGGCAGAATGCATCTCAAAAAAGTGTATAAGATACATAAAGGAATACTATATAACTCAACAAATTATCTTCTATGACAAAATCAAACTTTCGTGTAATTAGTCCATTAGAACAATGCCATTGGAAAGTACCCAACCTTTTCAAGGAAACCATTTACATTTGCAATAAATTAGAAAATATGTCACTAAAATTCATTTTGGCATATATTCAAAGCGGGTTTCAACAAATACTTTATGCTGACCCTTGACACAAACTCTAGGCCACTATAATGGCTTTTGGGTTCTAATATACTTAGGCAAGCACTACAATAGAATAATCTAAATATGACATCCTATATTTGATGATTATAAGTGTAAAAGGACAAATAAAAAAGACGCTAGATACTTGATGGTTGTTTTTTAAACAACCGTCAAGTACTTAGTATATATTTGACAGTTGTATTGACGTAATCGTCAAATATATCTACATCTCAGATTTAGTTTTTTTATAAATATATTTGACATTTGTTTGCTAATCACCATCAAGTATATTTTAGTGTACTTAACGGTTATTTGTAAACAAGCATCAAATACATGATTTAAATGAAAAAATAAAAAAAAAATTAATTACTTGACACTTGTTTATTAATAACCGTCAAATATGTATGTATTTTATTTGACGGTTATTTAATAACAACCGTCAAGTAAGGAATACTTGACAGTTATTAAGAAATAATCGTCAAGTATTGCCTTTTAAATTTAAGCTTCAGAACCTTTCATTTTCACATTTTTATAACTTGAACGTTTTCAAAAACACACCGAAAGTGCTCAAAAATCATTTTCAATCACTGAAACTGCCTAAAAACACATATTTAGACTCGATTCTTCTTAGGTTTTACTCGTGGGTTCCATTTTTTGGGATTCTTGTGTTGTTCGTTCATCTAAGTCTTCATTTCGGGTGTTTTGAGTTCGTTCCCCATCCTTCATATGTAAGTTTAACTTTTGCTTTATCTATTTAATTCGTTTTTGAGTTTAGTATTTAGAGTAAATTTGACTTAAAATTTTCCTACTTGCTTTTCAACAGTGCAAAATGTGAGTTGTCTTCTCTCCTTCCCCTGCTCTTCTTTTTCATCCTCGTGCTCTGCCTCTCTTAAGAAAGTTGGCCTATCCTTCTTTCTTGTGATATTGTTGTCAATTGATTGTAATTAGGGAGTTGATAGGAATTAGTGATTGGAATATGAATTTTTTGTTCATCAGAACTATGATTGAATGTATCTAGGCTTTGGTTTTTGGTTCTTTGTTAGTTTGGAAATTAAATTTAAGATTATATGAATATTAATTTACTATTAGGCATTATATGAATTTGTTAAAAATTTGCTTCCCTTGTTATGGTGAGGGTGATAATTTTGTTATTGGATAACTTGATTAGATATGATTGAGTTATGTTGAACTTTTAGGATGAAATTTTTGTATTAATTGTTGCTGTGAATAATTTGATTAGGTATAAGTATTATATGAGAACTTGTGAATGATGAAATTTTTGAATAAAGAGAGGGTTCAAAACCTGAAAAACTTTCCTTTTTAAGCTATTATGCTACCAAATTTTTTAGAATAAAATTTTTATATCAATTGTTGTTGGGTAACTTGATTGAGTATAATTAAATTATATGAGAACTTGAATGATAAATTTTTTTGTTTAAGTTGATTAATTGTGTTCTTTTTATTTAAGTTGATTAATATTTAAATTAATTGTGTGAATTTTGTTTAAGTTGATTAATTGTGTTCTTTTTATTTAAGTTAATTAATGTTTGAATTAATTATGTAAATTTTATTTAAGTTAATTAATGTTTGATTTAATTGTCTTTCTTTATAGATAAATGACTTTTGATAATGAGTCTGTTGATACCCCTCCATTGATTCTAGCTATAAATTTGACTGAGGTTTCGAGTACACAAAAAAAGCTTGAGTAGGAGTATAATAACATTCAACGAGAGCCTAACAATAATGGAATAAGTGACAAAAATAAGAGCTATAGGAAAAAAAATTGATATGAAATAGAACAATAAAGGGCAAGCAATTAAATTCTCAAAATTTATAAGTTATATTAGGGTAGTGGCAAAAACTATTGTGCCTATCATAGTAAAATCATGGCGCAAAGTAAATGAGATTCTTGAAGGATATTATCACCCATGCCCTTACCACATTACCTACCAAGGTACATTAAATTTAATGACATTTAAATTATAAATTTAATCAACTTTTGTTAAATAGCTATTAAATTAAATTTGTTGTAACTCTTTACGTACAGTACTTCGAGGATGCCTACTATATTCAATATGCAACTACACATATAGAGGAAACCCTTGAAAAGGTAGCTCAAGCTATGTTTAACATGTGGATAGCAACAATGGTTAGGCCTAATTAGTTTTGGTATATACATTTTTTTTTGCCATTTTTATGTCTGAAGCTAATTAGTTTTGAAATTTTAACTTATAAAGTAGGTAAAGTTATAGATTTTTTATGACATCGGGTTTAAGATATAGGTAGATATAGGAAATTAAAGATATTTGAATTGTAATTTCAATATAAATAATGATTCAATTATTTTTGATTGTTGGCTGGCTAGTGTATATATCTAATTGCTTTGTATTTGCAAGGGGCTGCTTTTCAACTTTTAAAAAAACACATTATAAATACTTGACAGTTATTTAGAAAGAAACGTCAAGTATAAGTTTACTTGACGGTTATTTTAAAATAACTATCAAGTATATATATTTATTTGATGATTATTTTAAAATAATTGTCAAATATTTGGCAATATGTAATATAGAATTTGCCAAAACATATTTGAAAATTTTTTCATTATAATCATCAAATAAGTAAACGTTCTTGATGGTTAGTTAAAAATAACTGTCAAATTTACTAAATACTTCACTATATTCCTACAGTACACCTATGCTACTAATATTTAAGTGATAGTGATTACTTGAAGATTATCTTAAAATAACTGTCAAGTAATCTTTAAAATATTTAACCGTTTTTAACTGTCAAATAAATAAATAGCACCTTATTATTTAATGATTAAAAACTATTAAATAATTTTAAAAACAATTATTAAGTAAGAGGGTATTTTATAGAAGCGAAGCAAGGTCTGGAAGGAGCTGAAGGTGTAGGACTAAATGTTTCAAAAACCATGGAGGAGGTGGGAGTGGAATCGTTGAGGGGAGTAAGGATAACATAAAAAATTGACTCAAAATGCCATGTGGATGACACTTGAAAACTGAGTGCCATGTGGTTGCCAACTGTGCAAACTTCTATGCCCCACTTGTCTTACTAAATGTCGCTTAGCATTAATTTAATGGCAGGACATTGAGTGTTCCAATTTTAAAAGTTTAAGAGCTCCATTAGACCAAAGTAGAATATAGAATATTAAGTATTACTCAAAGTATAATTCAAAGACAAAATTAGGCTTTAATTTTTTTTTGGGGGTCTAATTTAACGTGATTTATTTGTCTTTCTTCAAAAAGATGATTCATGATGGTCGACCCATAATACATGTATGAAAAGCCATTTATTTATATGGCTAGCTGTGACCCCGTGTAAGCTGTAACAAGCCACAAGCAAATCATTCCTTCATACTTTTTCTTGTCCTTATTGCATGAAACTTTCTTTAATTTTTTTTATTTAAATAAGGATAAAATTAATTTTTTTTTCATTTCAAGACAAAGTTAATAACTTCGTTAATCTCATTGATTTTGATAGAATAGTTCAAAACGCCAAAGAGTTTGAGAAAAACCAGCCATGAGCAATGCAATTGCAGCTTGCTAGCAGTTTCGTTGTCTAGTTTATAGTTTTAACAAACTAGGATAAAAAGTTTTGAATAAATTCTAGTGGCTATTTGAAAATACTCTTTCTAATCCTACTTATAAAGAAGAGAGAAGAAATTTTTTATTTCTATTTATAAAATTTCATTAACTTTAATTATAATTTTTTTTATATTAAATATTGATGAGAGAAAATATGTATTTAATAAGAATAAGATTAAAAATTTATTAAATGTTTAAATAAAGTTAATAAATTTTAAAATTTTGTTCCGCTAAAATATGCTGTAAAAAATTCAGAAATAGAAGCTGAAAGGAAGTGTAGAGAATATAGATATGAACTCTATTAAAAATAACAGAAAAACCAACCAAAAAAATATGTTTTCTTTCTGTTCTGCCATGAAAGAGCCGGGACGTCAGGTAAAGCACACTGAAGTCAAGATTGACTATTGGGCCCCGTGACTTGGCACGTTGACGTGTGGACATATCAATAGTTTCTATTGGCACAAAAAAAAAAAAAAAAGAATCAACAGTTTCCTTAACCAGGGTCCTAAAAGCAATAAATTTGAAAAATATGAATGGTTTTTTTTGGGTTGACTTAAGGGTTTTAAAATCATTTCACTCACTATAATTTCAATGACTAAAAATTTAGTCCCCGGGGACATCCGATAAAATGACTAGAAAAAAAAAATTAAACCAGACATAATTAGTCCCACCGTATTCACTAATATGAGGGGAAAAAAAAAATTAGCCTAACTAAAAGCGTTAAAACACCAACGTTCCCAATATTAAAGGGTCAATGTCCCCGGTAGACCAGAACAGTAATCTTCTAATGAGAAGACCGTAAACATAAATAATCACAAATAGATAGGTTTTGGTCAATGGAAAGGAACGAAATGAATTTAAAAAAAAATTAATAAAAAAACTAACTTAACTTTTTTACTTAACAATTACTTCTTCTGTTAAAAAATATTTTTAAAAAGTTAAATATTTAAAAATAAAAAATATTTTTAATATTTTAAAGTTTAATTATAGTTTTTTTTAAAGTGCCCCTATTAATAAATGACTTTATATTTATTATAGAGCATTTTAATAAGGATAAATATGAAAAGATAAGGTTAGTTTAAAAGTAGGTAACTATTTTATTTGGGGTGAGATTTGATTAAAAATATTTTACATTTTTTACTAAATTAATAAAACTTATTAATAATATTATAAATATGAGAATCATTATTTTTAATTTTATAAATTAAATTATCCATCTCTCTATAAATATACTTACCTATTCAATTCTAATAATCTTATTTTTACTTTTACATTTTTACCCAATTCCATTTCCAGTAAATAAATGTATTTTGAAGTCATGTTTGATTGTTAAAAAAAAATAAAATAAAATAGATTAAAAAAATAAAAATAAAAAAAGATGATTAAAACAATAGAGAAACACTTTTATAAAAAAAAAAGTAATTTAATTTATAAAATTTGAAATTATAATTCATGAAATTTTTAAAAAATATAATAAATAAAAACAATTTAATTTATTTTTACATTATTTTCTTAATTTATTTTATTTTATCCCTTTCCAATAACAAAAGGTTCCCAAAAATCACAGAAACGGCAGAGAAAATCCAGATTGGCCTCGAGCCTAAACCAATTTCTCCAAAGAACACAGAACACCTTCATTGCTAAGAAATATCACCAAACACCCTGCTTTACTTTATTCCCATTTCTCAAACCAGTTTATTTTTGTGAGCATTTAATAATACAGATAGGAGAATACATAATTATAGCTGTAGTTAATACATAGATCAAACTCGCTCTGAAAGGTGAAGGCGAAAATCGCATTGTCTTATCCACGAACAGGTTTAAACGAAGTGAGGTTCATGAAATGCTCCCACGGCTTCTCCCACACGACGGCTTCGTAATTCTTCGACGCCGACGAAGACCCGTCCTTCGCCGCCAGCACCAGCCGGTAATTCGTGCCGGCCACCACCTGCGTCTCTCCCTTCAGCACCTTCTCCAGTTTCAGCGCCGCTCCACTTCTCTTGTCGTACTCCGAGACCGCGAATTTCGCGATCTCCGTCACGTGCGGGTCCTCGATGTCCTTTATCGGCGTCCACCCGCCGAGCAACGGTCCCCTACTGCCCTCGGCAACGGCGCAGAGAGGGAGGAAGAACAGGGACAAGAGAACGAGGCCGTGAAGAAGTCTCATGGAAACCGTTGATTCTTTTCGCTTCGATTCCGCTTCTTTAAGGTTCTACACTTCGGTGCTTTCCTTCTTCTTCTTGTTTTTGTGTGTGTGTGTGTGTGTGTGTGTGTGTGTGTGTGGGGCCAAAGCTGTGCTTCGGTGCTAAAGAGAAGAAAATGCGAAAGGTCAATTTATAGCAGAAGATTGACAGATACCATGGGGGCAGGGTGAAACCGCGTGATCCCAAGGTCAAATGGTAGCCGTTGGATCTGATCGTACAGTAATGCCAAAAGGAAAAGAGTTGGTTAGAGTGAGGTGTGGGCTGGTGGTGAAAAGATGGGCCGAAACCATGGGCTAAGCTCTAAGGAATGATCCCATACAGGAAATAAAACAGTCATGGGAGAATTATTTAGATACACATTAGTAATAGTAATTGTCTAAAAAATTATTATTAAAGGAAGAGATACATGTTGAAGGTTCGTTTTTTAACTTTTCTGTTTGAAAAAGATTTATATTTTAGTCTCTGTATCTGGAAAAGGATTCGGCAGAATCTATAGTGTTATTAAAGAGATAGCAAAGAAAAAGAGAAATAGGCATGGAGCAAATATGGAAGGAAGTGAAGGAGAGCACGAAGACATGTTCAGCTACCTACCGACCAAGACACACGGAATGGGAAATTTGGTGGAGGGAACGGATATGGATTCTCTTCTATTCTTTTCATTCTTCCCATCCCCCCACCCCTCTTTTCTAAGTCATTAGATCAAGATTTAAACGATTCATATTTTATTTTTTAATTATTATTAAAATATTATATAAATATAAAATACATTAAAAGTAAAATAAAATATTTAGGAGGAGGTTAAATTTGGATAAGAGGATAATAAGAAGATGAGAACAAAGGGAGAAAATCTTTTCCGGAAGGATACCCTCTAATGCAATTATTATATACGTTGCATTATCATCTTTGTTGCCTTGCTTTTGAGATGTACGTGTCTTTGATTTTATAATTTTTGCATATATTATTCCCATTCCTTGCCAGCTAAGAAAACTATGTAATCATGGAATACTGGGTGTGCTTGCTGATCTGTGTGTCAAGCTCCTTGACCTTGAGTATTCAATTGCTGAAATCCTCCTCATAAATTCTTTACTATACATTATTTATCAATATTTTTTTTTTACTTTCAACTTTGTCTGTATTTATAGTCATTCCCAAACTTATGCAAAGGAAAAGGATTGTACTAGATCCTCAATAGGTAACATAAAACTTTATCAAAATTCATTAGGGTACGGACAGCAGACGTTTTTATTGTTGTATTGTTTTATAATTTTCAATTTTACTATTTCAAAAGAAATAACAATTTAAATTGTTTTCATGTTGCTAATGATAACTCTCCTAATGCATAGACAAAAGGAAGAGAAAACGAAAGGGATTTTTGAATAGGATTAAATGTCAAGCTTGTCGTGAAAGATTTCTGTTAGGTATTTAATTTTTGATGGGCACAATGTTACCTTCAAAATTTAAAAAATGTGCAATGTTTGTCTAATGTCAAAACTGTAAATACCCTATATTAATGTTTCTCTAATGTTGAAACATTGGTTAAACAATTTTAAATGAGGTTACAAGGCAATTTTATCTTAATTTTTTTCTTTAGAATGAGTACTTAGTATTTTAAACTTTTGATTAATACAATATTCTTGACTCCGATTAAACCTACACATGGACAATAAAAACTAGCTTAAGAGAAACAAGGACAAATCAATGTGACTTAGATTAGATTGAATGTTTGTAAAGTGTGACAATAGAGCCGCTTTACAGCTTTAAATACCTAGTTACATGTTTAAGTTGTCAACAAATTGGGGTAAAAGTACTTTTTATCCCCTAAAAGTGTTTATAACGGTCAATGTTGATCAAATATTGTAAAAAGATAATAATGTACCATTTTTCAATCTTTCATGATAATATTGGGCAAATCAAAATTAAGAATATTGATTGCATCAGTGGAAAGCTTTTCGTGCAAATTTACCCTTTAATCCTTTTAAAAATTATACTTTATAATAAAAAAACTAAAAAACGTAAATAACCAGTGACGCAAAGATCGAAGATTCCATTTTACACCTAGAAACCAAATATTTTCCCATGTCCCACGCATCAAGCCGGATTTCAAGCAGGCGGTGTTTGGGTTACTTTCCCTTCACTCCAAGTAATTTACTGTTTTTGTTTGGTTAAAGGGAAGTCATTCACAATTAAAAATTTTTAAGGAAGTTAATTACATTATTTTAAGCATTAGCATTAGTATTCTTAATATAAAATTTTTAAATAGAGTCATTTGAATATTATTTATTTTTTGTCCTACTCAAAGTACCAAATAAATTCAGTCATTCACCACCCTTGCAATGTAGCAAACCATTGCAATCTTAGTGGCCCACACCTCAAAAATCGGGAAGAAGAAAAATGATAATTGGCCATGTTCATGGATTATGGGCTTGAGAAAAGGGGAATATGAAGAATTGCCTGAAGAATGATCCAACTCAAAAAATTGTGAGGGCCTCGGAGAGAACAAGTAACTCGATAAATCTCAGTGTCCCCCGCAATTAGAAACAATGACTCTCTCACTCTCACCTGGAAGACCATCACTGCAATCCATCCATCCCCACTCTGATGAAGATGATTTACTTGCTAGAAGTTCCAAGAAAATAAAGAATACGGAAGAAGGAGCCAATGGTAACCTTCTTCAAGAAAATTGGCCAAAACTAGGTGCAAAGGAGATAGGGAATACTTCAAGCAAGCAAATCTTTGCAGAAAAATTGAAGGGAACTAGTAAAAAAGATGACATGTCTGATGGTGAACCTACGAAACAAGGTGATGATTATGATGATGATCTGAATGCAACAAATACAGATGAAGACAACGAACCTACTTTCATTACCATAGAAGTTCCAAAATGAAATTTCCCAACTTTCATTTTTTTTTTTGTTTAAGGTTAAAGAAAGGCTTTATCGTGCCTTGAAAAAAGAAATTATATTAAAGCCCCTGGATAAAACCATCGATTTTAAAGCCTTGGAAACGAGGCTATAAATAATGTGAGAAAAAAAGGTGTGATCAGATTGATAAAACATAGGCCGTGGTTTTTTTTGTGTTCAAGTTATCAAATAAGGAGGACTACTTCATGGCGCTTACAGGAGGTCCATGGATGATCTATGATCACTATCTCATTGTGAGGCCATATGAGCCGTGCTTCAAACCTTAAGAAGCTATCATTGATAAGACAGCATGCTGGGTTAGGGCTCCAAAGGTGTTCCTTGAATACTACAATAATGAACCCTTACTTTTACAGGAGATAGGATTGGCAAGACATTAAAAGTTGATATTCACACATCTTGCCAACTCGGGACACTTTGTGAGAATCTGTGTGTTTGTGGATCTTAGTAAGCAATTAATGGCTGGGTTTCACTTATATGGTAAGACTACCATTTGGAGTATGAAGGATTGCATATGCTATGCACATATTGTGGTCTTTATGGCCACAGATCAGATGTTTGCTCTAGCAGGCAGGCTTTTGATGATGAAATAAAGCATGATCGGCAAGTGGTGTAACCAATCCTTGAAGGCCATCCTTGAAGGCCAAAAACAAGAGACCATTCTTATAGATCATTGATGGGTGGTTCAAAAGAGTCAAAGACCAAGGAAAATGCAAGAAAAGCCAAAGAAAACTCACTAATAGGACCCTTCTGGTTCCAGATCCGGAGTGCTCACCGACAATGGTGAATCACATGATGATGATGCCAATAGTATGGTGTCTTTCATGCAAGAGGAGGCACGTTTCTGACATTGACGGCCATTTACATAGAAACCAACAAAAAAGGGACAGAAAAGCAAAGAAAGGAAAGAGCATAAAGGACGAGATTGACTTAGAATTAATTGTAATTTGCAGAGCACATAATAGTGTAAAACAGATGGCGTCCCCCACAAGAACAAAACGAGAGTGTGCAGCGGCTTAGTGACTATGTGCAGAAATTAGTCTCAAAGCAACAAGATGAAAGAAACTGAGTATGAGAAGGTTTTGCAAAAAAAAAAAAAAGGATGACCCATGAAAAATTTAATACTTTTCTAAAAGATAATTGGAATTTTGAAAATCCTTTGACGAAAAATTAGCTTGCTTCTATGACTCCATTCAATCTGGAATAAGGAGGCTTTTTGGAATGGTTGAGAGTAAGAAAAGACATATTCTAGCTAAACTGAATGGTATTAAAAAAAATCTTATGCTTATCCTTATTCTAGATTTTTATGTCAACTTGAAACCTCTCTTCAATAGGAACTAGAAGAAACTTTGAAATGTGAAGAAATGAAGTGGTTTCAAAAGGCCACAACTAATTGGATAAATAGTGGTGATAGAAAACACTAGATATTACCACCTTAAAACTACTATGAGAAGGAGGAATAGAGTTTTATATCTAAAGAATGACGTTGGAGATCTTATAGAAGGAGAACATGAACTTTAGTATCTAATCTCTTGTTTTTTTTAAGCAACTATGTAGTCTTGAAGATACTTAGGGGAGTCACTTGTCCACTAAATCCTCTTTTCCCATTATTGAACACTCTCTTATTGATGATTTGTCTGCTATCCCATCCAAGGAAGAAATTCAAAAGGCAATTTTCTCTATTGGCCTTTATAAGGCTCTGGGATATAATGGCTTTTTTTCAATCTTCTTTAGAGGAAACAGGGAAATTGTGGGGGAATCTTTCTATTAATTTATTACATAATTTTTTCAATGTAAGATTTCTGTTAAGGAAGCTAATAAGACTCTTATCTCTTTAATCTCTAAAAGATAATACAGAGTTGGTTAGTCACGTTAGACTAATCTCTCTCTATACTATCCACTATAAGTGTATTGCAAAAATTCTAAATCAGCAGTTGAAAGGATACATAGATTCAATCATATCACCCTTTTAGACCAGTTTTGTCCTTGGCTGTCAGATTCAAGATAATATAATAATTGGATAGGAAATCTTGCACATTATGAAGAAATCCAAGAGAAAAATGGGCCTCTTTGCGATGAAAATTGATCTTGAAAAAGCATAGGATCACATAAGGTAGGATTTTCTCCAACAAGTTTTGCTTGAAGCTAGTATGAGTTCTGATTTTACCTCCTTAGTCATGAATTGCATTACAATTATCTCATATAATGTTTTATGGAATGGGAATCAATATGATTTCTTTACCCCTCAAAGAGGTCTTTGACAGAGAAACCCAATTTCACCTTTTTTGTTTGTTTTGTGTATGGATGAACTATCTTTTTTGATTAGTGATGCAATTGAAGCTGGTTAATGGCAACACATTCGCATAAGCAAGCGTGATCCTTCAATTTCCCTTTGATGTTTTCAGATGATTTGCTTTTATTTGGTGAGTCTATGAAGAAACAAGCTTCAATTATGATGAAATGCCTTATAGATTTCTGCTATGCTTCAAGAGAAAAAGTGAATTTATCAAAATCTTTAATTTTCTTCTCTAAAAATGTTAGTACTGAAATGAAGGGCAAGATTAAAAGAATAGTGAGAATGAAAATTTTTACAAATATAGATAGATACCTTAGCTTTCCTCTTTCAGATGACCTAGAAATAAGTTTCACTATATTATTGAGAGAGTGAAGACCAAAGTAACAAGCTAGAAGTCAAACTATCTCTCTATAATAGGGAAAGTTATCCTGAGCAAATCTATGCTCAATGCAATCCCTTTGTACCCTATGCAAGTTGCCAAAGTACTTGTCTCCCTCTATAATGCGATAGAAAAAATACAAAGAAGTTTCATTTGGAGAAGCTCACATTTTAAGGGCTTTCACCCAATTAGCTAGAAAAAGGTATTACTTCTTAAATCTTATGGAGGCCTTAGGTTCAAAAAACTATCCTCAATTAACAAAGCTTGCTGTATAAAGCTTGCCTGGAATCTTGTTTACGATATTAAAGGCCTTTGGACTGACATGCTATAGAAAAAATATATGCTTAGATTTGAGGAGAACTTGTTAAATTCTACTAAAAGGGTTCTCCTTTGAGGAAGTTTATATGTCAACATAAAGATTTTATTGAAGAGTGAACTAGATGCAACTCAAGGATAGAGAATTTATTTGTTTCTTTAAGGACCAGTGGCTGTTTCTAAACAAAAAAAATCAAAAGATATGGTGATTAAACCACTTTCTACAAAGGAATTAAAGTCCAAAGTTATAGAATAGACACACTTTGGCCCCTGGGATTTTATCTCCCTATCTCTCATTATGTCTAATGAGGTTCTTTCTAAACTTATCTCTACTATGCCCCCTTCTCAATTTGCTGGTAGTGATACTATGCTTTGGAATGGCACCTCTAGTGGGTCTTTTACTTTTAAAAGTGATTATTTTATGGTTGAGAAACCACCTCTAGATTTATTTGATCCTAATTTTAAATTAACTTAGAAATGGAAGGGGGCTGAAAGAATCCATCTCTTCATTTGGCTTTCTTAGCACAATAGACTCCCAATAAATAAGTAGCATTCTTCATGGCCTAGGAGTTCTCCTTTGTGTTCTTGATGTGAGGCAGTGGAAGAAGATATTTTGCATATTCTTAGAGACTGCATTTATTCTTGTCAGATATGGTGTAAGTTGTTACCTCATAATCACTATGTTACTTTCTTTGCTTTGGATCTGAAAGATTGGATGGCTAACAATCTTAAAGCTTCATTCTCAAAAGTCTCATCTAACTGGAACTTAATCTAGGGTGTTGTAATCTGAAAACTTTAGAAGTAGAGAAATGGCTTTACATTTCAGCAAGATTTCCAAAAATCAGGTGATCCTATTGCAAATTTACTTTTGACTTGGAAATCCTTTGTGATGAATGAAAATTCTTCATTCCATGTTTATGGAGTTGCTAATTCAATTGATAAATGGCACCATCCTTCACAAGGATGGGAAAAATTCAATGCTGACAGTGCAATCTCTACTAACTCAAACAAAGTTGGATGTAGAGGAGTGCTTAGGGATAGCAATGGTACTTGGATAGTGGGATTCTCTATATCTATTAGTCAGTCTAGTTCTTTTGAAGCTGAAGAATGGGCTATTTTTAAGAGCCTTCATTTGGCTTGGATATGGGCTTCAAGAAAATTTTGATTGAATCTGACTCAAAAGAATTGATGGATTTAATTAATGATTATCCTTAACAACCATATAGTGGAAGCCCAGTCTTCTTGGAGATCCAATATCTACTCAAATGTAGCTTGAGTGTTTGTGTTAATTTTGTTCCTCGTGAGGAAAACATGATAGCAAACTCCCTAGCAAAATTTGGCATTTTCAATTCCGCTCTTTTTGATTTGGCTCCCCCATTTTCGAGGGACTTAGCGCAAAAGGATTGTATGGGATCAAAATTCCCTGAATTTTCTTAATTTCTTTGTATTTGGGCTCTGCCTCCTTCTATCTATCAAAAAATAAATAAATTTGTGAGGGCTCAAAAGTTGAGATGGAAACTTTTTTTTTTTTTTAAGTGGAGAAAAAGAATCATGTTCTTTTGACGAAAAGGAATGTAAAAAGTACAGAAATGAGCTTAATTACCATTTTTTATTTTTTTTAAATAAAAAGACAAGCATTAACTACATGAAATTATAAGGGCGATTGAATCTTCAATCTCACTTATAAGAGAGTTTCTATGCACTAGGTTACAGGATTATTAGTATGCATATACCATTTCATTACACAAAATGCCCCCTCTTGAATGCCCAGGCATATAGAGACAATGGACCACTCCGCTCCTCAAGCATGAATTTCATTTATTTGATATAAAATTTTATTATTTCTTTAAAATTATTCCATTCATTTAGTATTACATTATAACGTAATTTTATTTAATTTACATCCTTAATAAGTTAGCTAATGATACTTAAAATTACACACTTTTTCATATTTATCTTTATTTAATAATTTGCCTCAATTAGAAAATATTATTAATTACACCTCTAATTAATGGCATATTTGAAAAAATTGTATTAATTATACCTTGAAAAAACCTAAAATAATGCCTGCCTTATAATGTTGAACGAATATAGTACATGTATTTTGTCTTGTTTCTTGCGGGCCAAATTTGTCTTCATACTTTAACTTGATTCTATTTAAATTTACTTTATTCGATTTTATTTATAAGTAATTTTTAACATATTTTATCAAAATAAAAAAAATTTTTAAAACTTATTTTCTATGCCTTAATGGAGGCAAAAAGAGAAACTTGTAATAAAAAATAATAACAGAACTTATAAATAGGATAAAAAATTCTTCAATATTTATTTTTATATTAGAAAATTATATTAAAATAATTATCAATACAATTTAATTTAGTTATTAATAAATTTTATGATAATTATTTCTAATTATAATTTTTTTCATTTTATATTTATAAATAGGGCGGAGGGAGTTGGCTGTGGATTGAGAGGCACACTTGAAAGGCTTGGGAATGAGAGGCTCACTGTTCAAGCGAGTGTGAGTGTGGCCGGGAGTGAGAACATTAGAGACCACATATTCATGCCTTGTGGGGTCCCCTTGTTTCATTCAATTTCGGTTGGGATATCCTACATTCATTCCTACTTATGCCGTTTCAAACATTTTGGATCCCAATTCTTTATTTTACTCCATCTCATTTTTATCACGGACCTATATTCCAGTGACTAGTCTCATTTAAGGAGGGGAAAAACCAATGTCTTCCAAATTTGAACAGATAAAAGATTATTAAAAATAATTGAACTTAAAAACTTCAAATACATTAAATCTGAATTGATCATATTGAACGTTTACTATCCATATCTCATTTCAAGAATAAGAACGTCATTAGAGCCATGGCTTGGCAGCAAACATTGGCTTGAAAGATATGTTGGACTGCAGGTATGGTTTACATGAACATGTTCAACCTATAAATCGTATTCAGCTCAATCTCATATGGCAGCTGACTAGAGTGAAGCAGGGGATGAATGCACATGCTTAAATAATTTGCTGATGGAACCTTTATTCATTTGTTCGTGGTTTTGAAGTGTTGGGTCCCCTGCTCTGCCTTTACCCCTCCAACCACTTCCATTATTCGTGGTCCCAAAAATTACAACCCATCATTCTAGTTTAGTCAGGGTTTGCGCATCCACGACTGTAACACAACCTCCCATAATGTTCTAGTCTTTTAGATATCTTGGATCAAGTGACTCAGAGAGAGAGAGAGAGGAATAAACTTGTGTTTGGACAATGTGACTTGGACAAACACATGAATCTTAAACTGATAAACTCATAAATTTTAAACTCACATTCCTACTTTACTCAATTTTATCTTCTCCAAATCATAATATAAAACATCTTTTATAAATTTTACTTGATTTAAAATATAAAATATTAAATAATTTTTATATTTATTTTTTAATTATACCCTTACTTACTTTATTACTCTTTTTAAACAAAAATTATGTATTAAAATTTTAATTACTATGATCAATACTTTTATATAGAGTATTTAATGAGAGTATGAATATAAATAAATATTTTTAAGAATTTAATGTTTCAACTAACATTATTCATGAACTATAAATTAATTAATCATGATTTATATTGTGATTCAGGAGTATAACATCAGTTCATAATGACTAATTAGTAATCTCCAATTATAAACCGTCCCTACTTTATCAGTCAAACGTAAATTTAATTATTCACTGTGTTCCTTACTAACAAAAAGGGCAAGATATAACTCAATGAACAAAACGACATCTAATGAATAGCACTATACCTATAAAACACTTTTCATTCATTCATTCAAAAAATACAACAAAGCAGATGGATGAACATCTTAGCTGATATATATGGTATAACACAGGATGGTATTTTTACTTTCCTGAACCTGGCTGTATATATAATGCCAATGCCACTCCACACTTTGAGTTTGTCTTCATCTCTTGGATAAAGAATGCTCCGTGAAAATGACCAAGGATTTTGGAGGCAAGGAAAACAAAAAACAAAATCAAGTCCGCAACAACCAGCGAGAGTCTATGATCTTGTTCCTCTGATTATCATCAGCTGTTCCAAACACAATAGCTCCTGCAATGCCCAAAAAACAGAGCGATCACCTTCCAGTTCATGTTCCTCAGTTTCTCAAACAGAAAAAAGGGGCAGAGATGGGAGGCATTAAAAAAGGACAAAATACCTAACGTAGGCATGAGCAAGGAGAGGACAGCGATACCGGCAACCTTAAGAGGGACACCGATCTTGAGCATGTCTTTGATCTCGATGTAACCGGTGGCGAAACCAACGACGTTGGAGGGGGTGGATGTCGGAAGCCAGTAGGCGAACTCGGTGGCCATGGCGCCTGGGACCATCATCAGGAGGGGGTGCACGTGCATGGTGCGTGCGATGTGGTACAGCAGCGGGATCAGCAGCGTGGCTGTGGCGTCGTTGGAGGTGATGAACTCAGTGATGATGCTGCTCATCAGGCTCACCAGTGGAGCTATGGCCCAAAACGGTGCGTTTTCCAGGAAGCTCAGGCTGCGGGACAGCACATCGGCTAAGCCGCTCGACTGGACGCCGTCGGCTAAGGCGAAGCCAGCTCCCAGAAGTAAGATCAGCTTCCACGGCAGCTTCTTGCACTCGTTCCAGTCCATTAGCTTCTCTCCCTCTCCCTTCCTGTTTGGTATTATGAACAACAACACTGCCACCAGGACCTGCATTGTCTCATATCGTACCAAACAATATTGTCATGTGACAAACTCAAGTTGTAAGGGTCAAATGTAAGAAGTAAGATTCGAATTTTCCTATAAGAAATATGGGACAGCCTTTTCCTCCCATTTGATTCGGAAACAGCCCCAACCAGATAGAAACTACCCCAGGTAGGACTAATTTATTGTGTGCATTATCATTGTTTGGATGGCGACAGAAATAATTGAAATTGAAAGTATTCCAAAAGCCATGTTCAGCTCACGAAAAAGATTGACGGTGATTATTATTAATTTAATGTCGGGGAGAAAAATATATATCGCGGCTCGTGTTTGAGAATTGAGAGTGTGAAAGCGTTACGACTCTTGATAGAAAATTTGATCTTGAAATATTGTGTGATGCTGTTTTAAAAGGCTCGGGACAAGGAAGAGGATTAGAACAAAAGAACAGTTTCAAAATAAAAATGGAGTGAAAACCATAGTATTGAAAACCGATATAATCCAACCGCTTGAATTAGTAATCAGCGTGTTAACTGTTTTAATTAGACATTTAGGATAAAGAACTCACACTGACGCTGCCATCTCCAACAAGACCATTAAAGAGAGCTCCCCATCCAGGAATGTCGTCTGTGATCCTCCTTGTCATCCATAGTACTATCAGCAGCTGCATTTATTCTCTTAAATTAATTATCACTTGCTTCATCTCAAAAATAAGGACATTGTAAATTTCAAAACCCACCCCAAACACACTCAGCACCATCTTCTCAGCAAAACTCATCGGACCTGCAATTCCCCATTCCAGTCTCGATTAGTCCTTAAAATAGCTACATCCAATGTCAATTTTAACTTCCGGACATCTCTTAATATTTTTGAAATATATAATCATTTTTTTAAAAAAATTAAGATTTTCTATGCGGCAATCAGATTAAGATTCAAAACAGATAGGTATTGGGAATTAATTAATATTTTAAAGACAACAAATGCATGCAAACAAGTTTTGCTTGTCTGTAGATTCTAGCCTAGACTTTTCTCCCTTTTGTTTTGAAAAAAAAAAAATACATTTTCCTTCTTTCTGTGGCTAGAAAATGAGCACAGATGGAGAGAATGAATGATTCGTAAGTAAGAAGGGACCTACCCAAGGCTTCCAGGTCCCTCTTCAGGTGGGCTTTCTCCAAATACGGAGCCAAAGCCCGACCCGAACCCCGTGGGATGTAGAGCAGGCACAGGATCGACCAGAAGGCGAACAGGAGGAGAACGGCCACAGGGAATCCAAAGAAGAACCAATTGTTGAAGCTGATGGGCTTACTTCCCGGGGCCAGGCTCTTCCACATCCCCACCAGTATCAGGTTCACACCTGTCCCCGTCAGCGTGCTGGTCCCTCCGATCGGCGTCGCGTACACCACCGCCAGCACCACCGCCCTGCAGAACTTGTTCACCACTCGCGACTGCTCTTCCTTCGCAGGCATCCGCTGCAGGATCCCCGTCGCCACCGGCATCATCATCACCGCCGACGCCACGTTGTGCATCCACATGCTCACGAAGAATGTCGTCGCGCAGAGACCGAATAACAGTAGTGGTGGATTCAGAGGATCGCCGCAGAACATCATGGTCACCTGTACCGCCACGTCATTACCCACATCCAATTATTGCCTTCTCTATCACTTGCGTAAGCATCCACTCATGATGGTCCGCCGTCGCGAAATTTATCTCTCGCCTCTTGTTTTCCTTTTTTTCCATTTCAATTTATAAATTTGCTATACACGGCACAGGCCAATAATTTATTGTCCAGTGAAAAATCCCAGGATAAGAATGAGGGAAAAACAACCAATCCACAGCCCCCAACATTCTCCATCATTCACCATGCTTTACTCGAAAATGTTCGATTCCAGTCATATTCAAATTCAAAATTTGTTTTTAAAAAACCATGATCTCTGAAATATGAACCAAATAACTTGAGCGATTATATATAGTTACCGGAAACAGATAGATCTCTGAAGATATTTGAACTTCAGGATACTAAGTTCTCATTTTTTTTTATGAGTAAATTGCAGAGAAGATGATGAATTTAAGCTGAAACGAAGCCGGAAACTGAAGAAAAGATAAACTCACATTCAAGGCCAATCTTCTGTGGACGTTGTAGCGCTCGACGGCGAGGGCGAGAATGAAGCTTCCGAGAACAAGCGTAATCACGTCGTCCATGTACGAGTGAGCCACGTTATCGGCCGAAGCTATTCCGAAGAGAGGGAACAGAAAGAGTGGGCACATGGAGGTCACCGGAAGCGGCACCGCCTCCGTCACCCACCACGTGAACACCCACGCGAACACGGCCAGCATCTTCCCGCTGTTATCTTTACCTCCGTTCAGCTTGACGAACAAGGCGATGAGCAGGGACAGTAAGGGACCCAATATTACAAAGAAATTTTTTAGCGTGAAAATGGATTTCACACCGCACTTTGTTCGTTGGATCGGTCCGTGAAGTGGAAGAAGTGGGGACTTCAGATCGTCAGGACCCACCGGCGGTGGCGGCGGAGGAGTGTGCTCTCCGGTCATATTGGAAGTCTGGAGAGCGAAATAACGGAGGTTGAGTTTGGTTTCTTTGTTTCTGAAATTTTCGGGCAAGTAGGAAGGAGGGATGAGCAAATTTGCTTTTTATAGGAGGGGGATGGTTAATTGTTGCAAATATATATATATATATATATATATAAATACTCGCCTAGTACAGTAATGATTTTTCCCCCCAAATTATGCTGCTAAATGTTTGCATTAATTTACATTGAAAAAAAAAAACTTTATTTAAAATTCGAACCCAAGGAAGCAAGTACTAATCATATATGTCTCTTCAATTGTAATTCATTTGTTCATCCAAAAAAAAAAATTGTAATTCATTTGACATGTGCAGACAAGAAATAAAATGATAGACACGTGGATTTTAAGACAATCATTTTGACTCGGTCAGTCGAGGAGGAGTAATTGTGTCACGACTTACGATTGAACGTACAATTCATTTGCAACTTTGTTTCTGTTTCTTTCTTGTTTCTGTGTTTCTTTCTCCCTTTAGTGCCATGGCGATCAGCAATTTGGCTATCAAGATGAGGTTTATTGGACCTGATCTATTCAATGACTATCAAAACTGTCATAAAAACTTTGGGTTTCTTTGAAAAAATGACAGATAAATGTTCAAAATAGGCAAGTGACAGGATAGAATCACAAAATAAAATAAACAAACTAAAAATTTTAAATACTTGTTTTTCATCTTTTTGTAGCAAAAGTATATCTTTGATCCGTACGAAATGATAGGAAGCGAAGTTGTTAAAACATAGATTAAAGTTATTAACAATAAAAATAAAATTATTAATATAAAAAGCATACTTTATTTTTTTTATGACTAAACTAACAAATATGCTTTTTGTATTAATAAATGTACATTTATTATTAACAACATTGATTTAAACATTGACAATTGTGCTTTCTATTGTTGTTTTACTTAGGGTCAGAAATGTAATTTCACAAGAATTGCGTTAAATAAGTTCCTATGGCTTCAAACTAATTTATCACATTTCCTAATATTTATTTTTCATTTGCCTTTTTTGATGGGATGTTTTTGTCATTCTTTTTTTTTTAAACGTTAAAAAATTTAGGTTTAATCCTCTTACGAAATGCAGCATATGATTTAAGATTAAATGCATTATCAACTACTCAGCTCTTCATATCTTTGAAAAATTTTTATATACGTTGTTTATAATTTATCCAATATCAATATGCTATATTAAATGATAGTAAATATAAATTTATTTTGTCATTGATAACGATAGGTAAAGAAAAGACAGTAAAAAAATAAAAAAAAAAGCATTGAAAATAATAACATATAAGATTTTATTATGTCAACTTCTTATAATATAAGGCATTGGGTACGTGCAAGAATTTATAGTTTTGGAATCTCATTGTTATGTATTTGGAAAAGAAATAAGTACATGATATAAATGCCGGGGGGTGTGTGTCATTATATTAAGAAAAAAGAAAACAAAATAAAAGAAACGTATTTTTGGCCTCTAAGTGAATTGTGGGGCAGGATTGGGTGATTTTAGACTAAATTGGCGTGCTCAACACGTTATTGTGGTTCATGTGAGCAATATTTTGATTGCCACGTATGTTTTCAATCAGCACGGGATCTATCAAGTTGGCTTCTAAACTTAAAATTTTGACATTTGACTGCGATTATATTTCAACAATTGACTACTCTGCGTTCATTTCAAAGATTCACGTTAAGCAATTCTTTATTCATTTACAAACATTATATTTATTATCTTAAAATCAGCGGGTCAATAAATATTACATGCACGTAGATGAAAGAGTTTTTGTCGAGGATGGATTAAGGGAAAATCACATTCAATATCTCCTCAAGAAATCTATTAGTAAATAAAGATTGATAACAAGTCCATTTAAAGAAAAATAAATTTATATTCTCATTTTAATAATAATTTATTTTATATTAATTTTTATTCATGAATAAATTTTTTGAGTGATTTTTAGATATAATTCTCTCATGAATTAATTATATTGACATTTGATACCGAGATCATTTATCCTTATAAAATGCACTATTTGGGTTGAGTTGAATGTTATTGTCAGGCCGACCAAACAATTTAAAACACATCTGATATGAAGCCTAAATTAGGACTGTCGTCACCCAAAAAATAAGTCAATAAATAAATAACTGGCCGATTTTGCCCCTGGGCCAATTTAGAAGGCAGGCACAAGGACCCACAAAATTAAAGAAAAAGTTGAGCGCCACCTACCTATTTCACCGCAATGGAGTCTCTCTATTTTTTATTATCATTTTCTCTTTACTTCTTAATTATAATTGCTAAAATTATTACATTCAGTAAATTTGCTTTAAATATAATTTTGATAAATAGTCATGATTAAAAGCTTGAGGAAAAAATATCAAAAAAAAATAGAGAAACTCCTCCCCCGTGTTTCAAAGTCTCAAAGCAGTCCGCAAGAATAATGCAGGGAACAATTACTTAAAGTATCGGCAACTTTTCCCTCCAAGCCAAAATATATAACATGTTCCTCCTTTGTAATTTGCGTCAGATTACGCAAATGTTTTTAAATTTTTGTATAAATTAAAATTATTTTAAAAAATTAATTTTAATAAAAAAACTAAAATTAAAATTATATTTAATGTTTTAGATTTTTAAAATTTAAATCTCTCATTTAAAAATATAAAGTATTTTTTGAAGGGTCAGAAGTTAAAAGTTGGATGTTGGATGTTAAAAAATATATATTTTTTAATATTTCAAGGTATAATTAATATATTTTTTTAATATTTGTATTGAATAACTCACTTTATATTTATTTTAAAATAAAATATTCTACTAAATAGTAAGGGTAAATATGAAAAGATTGTATTAATTTAAGATAATTAAATAATTTGTTGAAGGCAAAATTCAATTAAAAATACATTACATTTTTAAACTAAAACATTATAAATATTTTTTGTATATTATGTGAAAATAAAATAAATTAATATTTATATTTCTATGTTCTAAAAACTAAAAAAATTCTAATATTAGACTAGGAATAAAAAATATAATTCATAGAAGTTATTAAAGAACTCAAAAGCTATACTTGTTTTTTCATGTCTTTTAAAAAAAATGATACAATTCAACTTTCATTATTCTCTTCCATTTCTCTTAAATCATGTTGATTAATGTTTTCATACATTGCACGGATATAAAATCTAATTCACTTTTTATAAAGAAAAGTTAGTTAAAACTTTAAATTTTTAAAAATATGTATATCTTTCTAATTTTATCCTGATTAAATATTCTATTTAAGTGATTTTATAGTAACAATTAAAATTTCAATGCATTATTTTTTTCAAAAAGAATAATAAATAGAATAGGGGTACGGTTAAAAAAATAATTATAAAAATTATTTAATTCCTTATATTTTAAACCAAGCAAGTTTTTTAGAAGATAAATATTATAGTTCGAAGGGAGTAATTCATAATTTTAAAAAAAGTTAGTTGAAAACTAATTCTTTTAAAAAAATTATATATTTTTTAATTACACTCTCATTAAAAGTCCTATATAAATGTCTTAATAATGATAATTAAAATTTTAATGAATTATTTTTTAAAAAAAATGATAAATAAAATGGAGGGTGTGAGTAAAAAAAACCATTCAATGCCCTGTTATTTTAAAGAAAAAATTATCTATAGGTCTTGTGGAGCATATTTATTCAAAAATAAGTTTTACAAAACTTAACAATCATAACCAAGTCTTTTAGGACCTAAATATAATTTGAAATTGAAATGCATGATCCATGATGTTGAAAAACTAGTAGAGACTTCCTTTGGTCTCAAAATCTCAATCAGCGCAAGGTGCACCTTACCTCTTGGGATATGCTTACTAAAGCCAACGATAAAGGTGGTCTTAGAATCTAAGACATTAGCATGCAGAATTTGGTTTTCATTGTGAAAATTTATTGGGGTCTTCTATGCCACCATAATAAATTGTGGGTTTAATGCCTCCGTGCTAAGTATGGTTGCAAAAATGGGACCATCTGCATTATCAAAAAGAAAGTCATCTCATCTTGTCTCTTGGCAAGGTATCACTTCCACTTGGGATAAATTCTAGCTAGGTATTGGCAAAAAGTTGTAGAGTAGCCTTAATACTAAATTTTGGTAGGATCAATGTTCCCTCCTTGACAAGCCCTTGGCCCACTACCTCACTGTGAATTGGGATAGGATTGACAACCAAGCCTCTGAATGGTTTTTGGAATGTTCATGCTTGGAATAATTTTCCCCCACGTTAGGTCATTCAGAAACTTCTGTGTTTCAAGCAACCTAATGGCAATGAATCCGATTGTTTTTGCTGGAGATCGACTTTAGATCACAATTTCCATATAAATTCTACTTAGAATTTCATAAAGAAGCAATAGCATCATACCCTTGATCTTGTTTGGAGGAAAATCTAGAAATTGCCTGTTTTTGAAAAGGTGAAACACTTCATGTGGCTCATTTACTGTGAGCGGCTACCTACCAACTCTTTTTAGAGCCAAGAGAGGAATCTTTAACAATTACCTTTACCTATTTAATTGTGACGGTGAGGAGACTATCACTCATATTTTGCGAGACTACTATTTTGCAAGGGAGGTTTGGAGTGCTCTGATTTGACCTGACTATTATTCAAATATTTTCTCCGGTAATTTATAGGTTTTGCTCAAATAGAATGCCCAACATTAATGTGGCAGGAAGATATACAATAAATGGCCCTAGATGTGACATCTCCTTTTGCTAATCATACTTGACCAACCAAACTCATGGTAATTAAAAGATTAATTCATTTAGTATATTACCAAATTTTAATTTCAAATCAAGAGATCCTGAGTTTTCATGAGTTGAAAAGAGTCAAATTCATTCCTTAACTCTTAAACTAGAGTAAAATTAAATTATGAAAGCATAGAATACCTTAGAGAAGTAAAAAAATTGAAAATAGTTGAAAAACAACTTATTTGTTATAAAACATGGCAGTGTACCATGGTTTATACACACTGTGTCACAGTGTGCCGCTCTCTATGTTGCGGACTACAGCTCACGCACCAATGCACCACGACATGTTG